AATGTTTCCTGCAATCATCAGCCACCAAATTTACTACATAATTTACAAAATTTACATAATTTAAAATGTACCAAAGTAAAGCTCACGCTAATAGGTCTTTGGAGTTGACGTCACGCTGCAATGTATAGTGGGAGTGCGGCGCCATATATCTGGGCCACAAATCAAAACAAACACACTGTGTTGGAGGGACGGTTGCTAGAAAGCAGTTTAAAAGAAAAAGGACGGTAGCATGCATTGGAAATGTGGACCCGTATGAAATACGGCCATGGAGTAGAAACCCTGAAGACCCACCGCTGTTGACGTAGCCTGATATATTTTCGTACCTTGTCTGTGGAGTCAGCATGTACAAGGTGAACCAGTTTTGCAGTTTTAAATCTCTGGAGGGACACATCCAGTTCACCAAAGATTGGGTACAAGATTTGTGAATAGGTCGATTGGCATGGTGGTATGTTTGAAGCAAGGATTTCGGAGTGCCCCTTGTGTAGCGCTAGAACCCAGTCACAATGTGTTTCATCTATTTCATAGGCTGGTTTGCCTGCAATAATGCCAAATAATTAGCAACTCTATAAATAGAAGGTAGTTCTGCAAAATCAGTCAGTAGGATGTTTGTTCTAATTTGCTATGACCTCAGAGTGCATTGAAAATAAAACTAATAGGTTATAAAGAGTCATATAAACATATTTAGAACTTACTGGAATGAAAATGTCTGGAGCACACCAACAGATATTTGGAGATGAAAGAGAGCTGCATATCAGCTCATCTCACAGCTGCTATCCAGACTAGATGCCTTCTTTTGGTAACATTCGATACACGAGCTCCCTCATGTTGCTTCCAGGTGGGGAAAGAATGAAAAGATAAACCATTGTCAAGCTTATTCCCTTGCCGGTGTTGTGCCAAAAAGTGATTGCCTGCCAAAAACTGATTTCTAATGTTTCTTTGTGTTTCTTATGTGTAATATTGTCACGTATGTTGCTAAATAGACTTTGGTGAACAGGTATTACAAAGGGGTTATATATAAAATTAAAAAATTACCTGTTTCTCAAGTATCTTTGTAACTGTGTTATTGTTCTTACATTATAATATATCAGCTCCCTTTTGTCACTTGGAATATGTTTACAGAACTATTTTTGCATTTGTTGCAATTTCAGCTGTCCTCTCGGCCAGATTACTCTTAAAAGAGGCATTTTTAAATTCAACAAGAATTTTTTTAACTGCATAAATAAAGGATACATAAAAGCCACTGCCAAAAGCTGATTGCGGCTTCTACCTTGTTATAGAAATGTTGTTTGTTGCACAAAATTACTTGATATCACTGATGAGGGATACATTTGACATATGTTTCACATATTATAGACCAACAAGTTATTTATAGCAGTTTAAATACAAGCAATCAGTTTTTGGCACAACACCGGTTGTGCGATCTAACATTAAAACCGATCGCACAGCAAGTACGAACCATAGCTGGTGTTATCCGTGAGCTTTCGCTTCTCTTTTCCTAGCACTTTGTTTGCAGTGTTGCCAACTCCTCAGTAAGGAAAATCACTATTGGCTGTCCTAAAAGTCGCTAGAAGTCGCCAAATGACATCATTGCCTAATTTGCATAATTGGCCATGCTAATGTAATTGTAACTTACGTTGTTGGAGAGAGAAATAACATCGTAGAATAGACATAAAGTGAGTAAAGCCCGTCCTAAATGCATTTTAGAATTTATTTAGAACTACAAATTTCTTTTAGGAATTATTGTTTTTTTTGATGTTACAATTTCAACCTTGCACCTTTATCCGGGCCTGGACCGGCAAAAGTGACCCAAAATAGGCACTCTGGTGGAGTTACTTTCTGTGTCTGTGTTTATAAGTAGTTTTAAACCTTGTGATGCACAAAACAGCATAACAGTAAAAGAAGAACTGACTGGTGTGAACATCTCCTACCCTGATCGCAGCTGCGTGAGGACTATCCTCCGACTGTGAGCGCTTTGGCACTGGCGAGGTGCCCATGGCAGCACTGCTACTTGTTGATAGTAAGAGCGATATGCGCTTTCACGTCAAAAAGTCATAAATAAGTCTCCAATAACACCAGAAAAAGTCGCCAGATTTGTCGCTAGTCACTTTTTAGAAACAAAATGGCTAAGGAGGTCTGAAAACTTGCTAAATATAGCGACAAAGTCGCTAAGTTGGCAACACTATTTATTTGGCCCAGAAACATGGCGCCTCAACCAAAAATCCTTGCCACGCCCCCTCTCGTGACGTCATGCCGCAATGCATTGTGGGAGCGCACCACCGTCTTTGAGGGCCACGAGTCAAAACAAACACACTGTGTTGGAACTGTGTCGGAAGAACGACTGCCAAAACCACGCTTAAAATCAGCGCGAAAAGACAAAGGGCTGTATCGCAACCAGACACCAAGACACGGTACTTGGAAAAAATAGCGTGCATTGGTAATGTGGACCCATATAAAATAAGGCAGTGGAGCGAAAACCCAGACCACCTACCGCCGTTGTCCTATCCCGATAACTTCGCACACCGTGTCTGTGGAGTCAGCACATACACGGCGAATCAGTTTAGGAATTATAAATCCCTGGAGGCGCAAATCTAATTCACAAACGCTGTGTGCAAGATTTGTCCATTTTTAAGCCTCCACGCTGTGAATACGTAAACCATATGACCAAGATACAGCCAAAGGTTGCACATAACATTGACTTCTCCTCAGCAGCTGCCCCAAAATTTGCTCTAGATGAAAACATAAACACACCGTCCGCAAAAAAGGCAAATTCCACTTGCTACTCTGGAGGAGTTGTCACCGATAAGCTACTCCATAAACAGAACACAGTTCTGCTGCATCACACATTAGGATGTTTGTTCTAATTTTCTATGACCTCAGCGCATTGAAAACAAAACTAAAAGCCTATAAAGAGCAAGTTTTGGGGTGATTTGTGCCCCAACCCTTGTGCCTGGTTTAAGTTGTGCCAATGGCACA